TGGCTTTGAGTTTTGTCCTTTCGATCATCAAAATGTAACCCTTCCAATGTTTTGGCAGCACCAGCTTATAAAATTTTTCTCTTTTTCTGTCTTTCTCTACGAATTTTACTAGGGTCAATAACATCAGATGAGTCATGCGCATTAATAATGCCATAATCAACCAAAACAGCCGATGCTAATGCTACAGCTGAGCGATCCGATTCTTCCCATCGATCACATTCACGAGCTAATATTGGTAGTGGAGTTCACATTTGAGAGTTCAAAATTTCTTGTGAGCTTGTATTATTAGTTGATGATGGTGACTTAGGCGAGTCTGTCATGAAGTCAACATCTTCATTACTACCTCTTTCGGTGATAGCTTCATCTAAATCACCTAACGTGACATCATTACAATCATCCTCCAATCATCCAAGCTACAATCTGGATGCGATTTTAAAGTTTAAGCATTTGTTATTGATTCACATTTATAAAATCTCAATTCATCTGCAAGTTTTCTTTTCAGTGCTGCTTTGTTGTTTTAATATCAACGTTGCCAGTAGCCATTTTCCTTTCTGTTCTTTGATCTGCAAGAAATATTATTTCATTTGGTGGAACTTTACGATTCTTTTCACAAGCACATGTCGAAAAGTCTTTACATTTACATGAAGCAATATCAAAAACTGGATTTGATTCAATTTTGAAGTTTTCAACTTTGTTCAGGTACTGTGACTCCTTGTCCTCGGACCTCTGTTTAAACGGTTTCATAAGTGAGCGATATTTGTCATGGTAATCTCTTATTTTAGCTGTTTTTTGCTGACGGGATATTACTGGAATTGATGCTCTGAGTCATATTGTCTCAAGATCAACAGATATCTTCCTGGTTGTTTCATTAATTGTAGCTTCTTTGACATGGCCATCAGACAATTCTTTACTTACTGATATAAAATGTTTCATGATATCTGCATACGTTGGCAAAACATTTATGCTCATTCGTGAAATGATGCCAAATACTGGGCATATGTTATCATTGAGAGTGAGTGGTTTCTTCATTCGTACAGTTTCAATCTTTTGTCCCATGATCTAACTATACAAAGACAACACAGCAAATATAAATGATAATTTTAATAATTATCTGCTAGATTCTGTGTTTTTTGTTTGACGCCGTTTGTATTTTACATAATAATATATGCACATTCACTCGCCAGATGGCAGCATTATAGCAGCTAATTATATAGCACTAAATAATAATATTTTTATATCACCCAGACACACACAAATTTTAAAAAAAGTCTTAGTCTATCTCGGTAGTCCGTGCTCCGTACTCCGTAGTCGGTAGGTCGCATTTTGGGGATTTTGGGGAATTTCAATGACCTTGGGGCACCTCAAGATAATTTCATAGAGCATTGCAATTTTTACAGAGTATTTCTGATATGAATAGACAACTTTTGCACACCAGGCAAAATGAATATCAAACAAAAAAAAAAATTCTAACTTTTTTTCCGTAGGTCACTTTTTAGGGATTTTGGTGAATTTCAAAGTCCTATGGGCACCTCAAGATAATTTCCTAGAAAAACTCATAAGATTTTTTTCTTAACTCAGCTTTCTTGTAATTATTTATCTGAAAATTCGCTTGCTTGATGGTTCACCGAGGTCGTTATCAATAATTCCAATTAAAATTTTCTAAATTTAAATAGTTTACAATTTTTACGCAAATCCTCTCTATACTACTACCAATGATATATAAATATCATTGACTACTACTAAATATAAAATTAGCAAACAAATTTAAAAATAATTTTATAAACATTTATTTTTATTTCGTCTCTTTTTCCGTTATTATTTAAAAGGACAGAAGCAAAAGCCAAGTTTGGCTTTTTCTTCTGTCCCTTTAAACTTTCGCATTCGCAAATACGCAATAAAAAATCCGGGGGATGCTTGTCTTTTTTTACGGTTACCGCAGGTCTACTAATACGCCATTTTTTTCGGCATTTCGGCTTTTCGGTGTTTTAGAATTCGGCTTTTTAGGCAGTCCCATTCAGTAATATATAGTATATATAGTAATAATACACGATATATAGTAATAATACACGAAATATATAGTAATAATACACGAGAACGAAAACGAGAACGAAAAAAAAAGCCTTTCGTTTACGAAAACGAAAACTAAAACGAAATTTATTTAAAGAACGAGAACAGAATAAAAACGATAATTTTAAATTTTCGAACGGAATAAAAACTGAATCGAAAATTATTTTAAAACGAAATATTTTCGTTCTAGATTTGAAACGAGTTGAATTATTTGATATATATAATTATTATATTACAATACATTGTAATGATATATTATTCGAACTTAAGGTATAAGACCCCTCAAAATTCCTAAAAAATTCAAAAAAAATAATTTGTGTTTTAATAAAAATAAGGCTTAGTTCTTGAGATATAAAAGGTTTCCTTCAACTGGGTAAATTTGATCTGCTTAGCAACACGCATAGCAACGGGTTTTTTATAAGAATTGCCAGCTATTTAGTTATTTTTGTGTTATTTAATAAACTTTTTCAATAATGGGTAAATTATGCAGAGTTAAACAAAGTACTCAAAGTAAAAAATCCAGAAGATTTCATGGAAATAGGTATACCAAAAATTTGACAAACAATTTAACTTTATCAGTAGCTCTTGTTAATAACAATGTTACATGTTCTGAAAATGACCTTATTTTCAATAATAGTTCATTAGATTTATCTATATCCTCGAAAAAAGTTGAAAAAATTGAAACACCACATCAAAGTAATAATAAAACTGTTGTTTATCGTATTATTGACATTGAAATTTTATCTGGTGTAATAAGTCAATTATGTTGCAAAAATTGTTTACAATCTGGATTATTTCTTGAAGAATGTTTTCCTAAAAAAAAAGATTTTAGCTCGATGTTGAATATATGCTGCCCTAATTGCAACAAAAAAATTGAATTTTATACTTCAAAGACATGCTCTGGGAAGAAAAATTTTGATGTAAATAATAGAATAATTTATTCTATGCGTGCATGTGGTCAAGGTTGTTCAGGGCTAGAAAAATTTACTTCTTTAATGAACATTCCTACACCAATGACTAAGAACAATTACAACAAAATAATTAAACATGTCTCTGATTGTGCTAAAGTTGTTGCAAAAGAAACAATGTCTGACGCTGTTAAAGATATTTGTCAATCTTCTTCAAATATTGTTGATACTGCAGTATCCGTTGATGGTAGCTGGCAACGTCGTGGATTTTCCTCATTAAATGGAGTGGTTACTGCTATATCAATGGACACAGGTAAAATTATTGATTGTGAACCAATGAGTCGATCATGTAAAGCATGTAGTTTAAAACTAAAACTTAAAGAAAATAACCCAAATGCCTTTGAAGCTTGGAAATCATCACATGTATGTAAACTAAATTATCGTGGCTCTGCTCCTGGAATGGAAGTAACTGGTGCTCAAAGAATATTTAGCCGTTCTATTTCACAAAATAAACTGAGGTATGTAAAGTATTATGGTGACGGTGATTGTAAAAGCTATTCGTATGTTAAAGATACTTATCCTGGTATAACAGTGTGTAAGTTGGAGTGTGTTGGACATGTACAGAAACGTGTTGGTAGCAGATTGCGAATTTTGAAAAAAAATGTAAAAGGACTTGGAGGCAAAGGCAAATTAACAAATGCTATAATTGATCGCCTACAAAACTACTATGGAATTGCTGTTAGGCAAAATGCCAATGATTTAGAAGGTATGAAAAAGGCCATACTTGCAACATTGTTTCATGTTGCATCATCAGCTGAAAATAATTGGCATGCTCATTGCCCAGATGGCATCAATAGTTGGTGTCGTTATAAACAGGATAAAGCTAATTTAACGTCTACCTACAAGCCAGGTGCTGGTCTTCCACTCTCAGTTGTCAGTCATCTAAAGCCTATATATATAGATTTATCTCAAGAAGAACTCTTAAAAAAATGCCTTCATGGTAAAACCCAAAACCAGAATGAAAGTTTTAATGGAATGATATGGCAGCGCATACCTAAAACAAAGTATGTTTCATTAACGCAGTTGGAGTTAGGAGTTTATGATGCTGTTTCAAATTTTAATATTGGAAGAAAAGCAAGCATACTTTTGTTTGAAAAGTTGAATATGATTCCTGGTATTTATACTCTCCAAGGCTGTTCAACCATGAACAAAAAGCGCCTAATTTTTGCAGAATATCAAAATCGGATTACATCTAAAAAGCGACGAAAAGTTATTCGTGGATGCAAAAAAAAAAAAGGATGATGCAGAGAATGATCAAGAAGGATGTCTTTATGACCCTGGTTCATGTTCATATAAATAAAAGTTTTTCAATTGAGTATACGAGAGAAAATATTATGAAAATTTATGAATATAATATTCAAACGAGTTTTTCTCAAAATGTAAATTTTTGACCTCCCGGCCATCCTATCTCATTAACCGTAAGTTAAATTTGTATGAAAATTTCACCAAATGTTTATTGCATCTGGTTGTACAATTGGAACTAAAAGTTTTTTAATGCAATCAAGAGTTTTTGATTTATAGAAGTTTCAAGTTACAAAAAAATCATATTTTTAGTACGCCATTTTGAAAATTTTATTATAGGTCAAGTACTAAGTTTTTTTAAATAATTTTAGTTCAGTTTGTAGATCAATATGTTATTAACCATATTCCAAAAATTCATAACCTACATGCTTTCAGTTACTGAGATAGCTTGGCCGGGGTAACTTAAATATTTTTGAATGTCGGCCATTTTGCTTGGTAGCCATGACAATTAATAAATTTATTTTGTATTTTTTAAAATCTTTTTATCTAGTTGTTTCTCAAGATAAAATTGTTTTTCTGTTAAAAAACTTTTTTTAATAATTTTTTTTTTGAGGGGTCTTATACCTTAATTGAATTTTATTCAATTAAGTTCGAATAAGTTTAGTTCGAATATATTTTCTCGAACTAAAAAAAATCAAACTGTAAGACCAACACAACTACGCGATGAGTTTGAGTAAACTTTTTGCTGGTAGGAAGAGGAATAGTTCAGTATGGAGATGGTTTAAATACGATGCGTCATCCGACAAATCAGTATGTTTAGTTTTACTTGATGGTGAAAAAGTATGCAATACAAAGTTGTGTGGAAAGAACCCAACAAATCTTAAAGTTAGTTTATCTGTTAGAGGATATGTTTTCATTTTGAAACAAACGACTCATTTTTATCATTTTAGAGTAATTATTCAATAACGTATACGAACTTATTTATACATTCATTGATAAACAGATAGATAAATAAACATATAAATATACAAACAAAAAATTATATAAATATGTTTATTTTTTTCTAGCTACATTTAGCAAGAAACCATAAGTCTGTACACGTTGAGCTGGAAGAGTTGGAATTAAAGAAATTAAGTGAAAAAAAGCAAACAGGGATAAAAAGAAAAGCAGTGGATGAAAATGGACCCACTCTTTTAGAATCGTCCTCAAATCAGAACCAGACCTTGATTCAATGCATTAATCGTAGGAATACCGCATGGCCTATTAATTCACACAAGCATAAAATTCGACTAAACTCTCTTATTCAAATGATAATTGCAACATGTAATCCAGTGACATTGGTGGATAATGCGAGTTTTAGAAAGTTAGTTAATACCTTGGATTATAAATTTTCATTGCCTGCTTCTTCCAAAATTACTAGCCTACTTAATGAAGAATTTACTGTTTTAACGAGAAAACTTCGTGACTTCATATCTGAAGGCAGGCGCTTCACAATATGCCTTAATGGCTGGACTAAAAAAGGTTTTACTGCGTCCTTTTTAGGAATTTCGGTTTGTTTTTTCACTTCAAATACGAAAAACCAATACATGCTCTGCTTAATTTGTATCTTGTGAAACATCCACATACAGGTGAACAAATTGCTAATTGTTTTGAAAAATGCCTAAAATATTGGAATATTTCCAGAGAAAAAATATTGCTTGTTATTTCGGACAATAGAGCAAACATGGTCTAAGGCATAAAGTTGTCGAGAATGAAAGCTCAAGCTGAACGTGATATACTTATTGAATTAGAAAGTGAGGTTAATGAAGAGCAGACAACAGATCAGGAAGACGATGAGAATATGAAAAATAGTGAAGAGTGGAAACATGTTGACTTGATAGTTGATGTATTAGAAAACGTAGCATTTAGAAGATTGGGATGCATTGCACATGTTATACAGCTAGTTGTAAAACTTGCATATAATGGTAAATATCATGGCTTACTTTTGAAGGTACGTGGATTAGTGGGAAAAGTTCGCAAATCTTCTGTTGCATTGGAAAAAAATTATCAACAAATGTAGTAAGACTGTGATCAGCGACTGTTCTACAAGATGGAACAGCACTTACTTTATGGTTCGGAGATTTCTTGAAATAAAGACATCTATCAACGAAGTGCTTGGAGACCTTAACATTGATTCACTTGGCAATAGCGAATGGATAATGCTTCAGGATTTTGTCAATCTTTTAGAACCTTTTGCCAATGAAACTGATATTCTTCAGACGGATGCACTTTCACTATCCAGTGTTATACCTTCAATACTTAATTTAGAATGTCACCTTGAGCAATTTGGAGATGCCAAAGATGTAGCAGTTAAAATGCTTGAAGATCTACGCCGTCGTTTTGCCGTTCTTTTGCAGCCAAACGATCCTAATTTTAATCCACTGCCATGTGCCGCATGTCTACTTGACCCCACATGTGCAATAGCTCTTTTAGGTAATGAGCATACACAAATCAGAGAGTGTGCAAAGAAATACATTTTGTCAGAGGCTAAAAAATCGGTGCAACATGATTTACCTTTAGCAGGTGCATCTACTCTTTCTGTTGAGATTGCTCCAGAAATAAATGGATTAACAAAATGGAAATTTTAAGAAAAAATAAAGCTTATTCCAGGTAATGAAGCACAAAATGAACTCAACAAATATTTTATTGAAATAAGGAACAGCTCTATGTGCCAAAATGCTTTAAATTTCTGGAAGATGAGACGTGCTGTTTACCCACATATTGCACCATTAGCTGAAGACCTCATTGCAGCTCCTGCAACTCAAGCATATGTTGAAAGACTTTTTTCAATCTGTGGCTTGCTCACAAATGGACGGAGAAATCGAATGTCAGCGTCATTGGAAATGCGAGTTTTCTTAAAACTAAATTCTCATCTAGTCTAGGTGATAATCATATAATCACTAGGCCCTTTATTTGTAAAATATATGAGTAATTATTAAAGTCTATACAATAACTATTTATTAGTTTTTATTGTTACCAAATTTGAGGAGTTTTTTTTATACCTAATAATTGAAATTTTTTTAAGTTTTAGAGCAATAAGGACAGGTTGTTGTTGTGTTTTTTATTAAGGGCGGTGGGCGGGGCTCTAAACTTCTAGCCATGGGACTGGGTGTATTACATTTAATTAAGTTCTCATTTTTTTGTTTGTTTATAGAACTAAGACTTACTTCTTTTAGTTATATATGCCTATATTATTTATAAATTATACTAAATTATAATTAGATGAGATAAAAAATTTATACGACAAACGAAAATTGAACTAAATAAAAACTAAAACTAAAATTATTTTAAGATAAACTGAATAAAAACTAGAACTAAATTTATTTACTGAACTGAATAAGAACTAGAACTAAAAACTTTGCCTCTAAACTGAATAAAAACTAAAACTAAAATTATTTTCCGAACAAAAATATCACTGGTCCCATTTTATAGATGGTCCAAAATATGGGAAAAGAAAAAAAAAATTCTATTAGGTGTGTAAAAAAATAATTAAACCCTTGTTAAACTTTTTGTTACTACTTAAAATGATGCCGACAATTTCCAACTCTTAAAAACAAAATATAATACCACACCTTAATATTTCTCTAGCGTTAAACACAATTTCCAATAATAATTATTTTATTATTTTTATATTTCTTGTTTCTAAAATTAGTATTTTTTACAATTTATTTTGATTTTTTAGTAAGAAATGTCTACCGGATATTTCCGGCTGTCAAATTTATTTTTATTTTAAATCAGGTATTATTATTTTGTTGAACGTTTTAAATTTGTAACTTTACGATAATATTTTAATAATATTATCGTAATTTTATTAGGATAATAATATTTTAATATCATGATAATAATAATAATTTTTTTTTTTTTTTTTTGTTGACCTGTGTAATAATCCAGCATGACAATATACAAAAAAAAGTTTTTTTTCGGAGTTTCTAAGAAATATAAAAAATTTTACAGAAAATATAACCGGAAAAATTTGATGCAATAACAATTTATTTAGTATATTTTTAGATTATTTAATATATTACATATATATTTAAATATTTTCCACATATATATAGAAAGCATAAAATATTTGAAATTTTTTTAAAATATCTTATCAAGTATTTTTTAAAGAATTTATGTGTATTACTGTGAGTTAATTGCTTTTTATAACTATTGAATTTTACACAATTGATCTAATGATGCATAAAATTGACTGCAAAAAAAAAATCGTACAGTTCAAAAATAATGTCAAATTAATCAAACTTCAAGGAAATTAGTATCGAGTCGGGCCTTATTTGGCCTTGATGGTCTCAGCTAGAAGATTTGGCAGTGGCTTGACCAAATTTTGAGTCTTTTTTGTTGTTATATTATCCTGTGCGCTCATTATAGCTTCTTTCAAGTCGTCTTTGCGTCTAAATGCTCGGTTACCAATTTTTCTGTCTAAAAAATACCACAAATTTTCTATAAGATTCAAGTCCAGACTTTGAGATGACCATTCCAAAACATTTATATTATTTGTGTCAAAGTATACCTTTGTTTTTTTAGCAGCATGTTTTAGATCGTTATCCTTCAGTAGTATAAAATCGTTTTCCATTCTCAATTTTTTAGTAGATGGTCATAAGTTGGGTTTAAGAATTTCACCATACATTGAAGCATCCATTTTTTTTATCAATAAATATTAATTTCCCTAGTCCTTTTTAACTAATACTAACTCAAACCATCCTCCATGCTTTACACTACCTCGCAAACAATTTAATATATAAGCTTCTTCTATTTTTTGCCACACTTTCTGAACTCCATCGATGAGACGAGATTGTATTTTGACTCATCTGACCACAAAATTTTTTTTTAATATGACATCGGCATTTTTTTGTTCTTCTTTGCAAATTCTAATTAACGTTTCATTTGTTTTGGAGTTAAAAAAGTTTTTTTCGAACTACTCTCCCACTATATCCTTGTTCTCTTTCTCCCCTCAAACAATTTTTAATTGTTTGAGGGGTTTATTGTGATATTGTGATCTTCTAGAGCTTGCAAAGCTCTTTTAGCTACCAAAAGAAAATCTGTTTTTCTTCACATTAATGGTGATACTGCGATCAATTGCACTGGTGGTCTTGCGTTTTCGTCTTCTGCCAGTCACACTAGCAACGGTTCCAATTAGATTATGCTTCTTAACAATTAAAGACACTGTTATAAAAGGAATTCCTCTTTTTTGATCTGATGGTAGGATTTTTCTTGATTTTTTAAATCAACTATGAGGCTTTGTTGATGGAAAGACAAATATAGCTTTCTTGATGCTATTCTGATGAAACACTTAAAAAACTTAAAAAATTACTATTTTCAATTTTACTAACTAGTTTGATCGTTTAATTCGCTCGATTTATGCTAAAATAAGGACCTATTTTGTCAGCGTACGATTTTTTTTCAATTTTATGCATCATTAGATCAATTGTGGTAAATTCGATAGGTATGAAAAGCAATTATTTCACCAATACACAAACAAATTTTTAAAACAACACTCGATAAGATATCTAAAAAAAAATTTCAAATATTTTAACGGATAACTCATTTTTTTGATGCAATCTTTAAAATTATGATTTTTTTTAAATGTACGATTTTTTTTGCATATATATATATATATATATATATATATATATATATATATATATATATATATATATATATATATATATATATATATATATATATATATATATATATATATATATATATAATTTGCACTCTGCCTAGCAAGTACTCTTGAGTGTCGCTATATCACTATTTAACGTCATCTGAATCATCTTGGTTTTGCTTAAAACAAAGCGTTTGCGTTCCTTATGATTTGCATAAACAAGTGTACTTTTTGCTATCCAAAAGCATACTATGAGTTGGCTTGACAACGTTATCACAGATAAAGAAAAATAGGTTCTCTATGCTAATCATATCAGAAAGCGCTAATTGCTAAGCCCTATTCAAAAGCCAATACAAATAATTTTAAACTGTAAATTTATTTAGATCTCCCCTATTTCATTTAAAAAAATGCTGTCAAAAAAGAACCATTAAATTGGAAAAGTAGAAACGTACTTTTCAGTTTTCACCAATATGTTATAAAAATTATTAAGCAATTTAAATAACTATTGCAAATATGTATTATGCCTATTTTGACAAAAATCTTTGAATGCAATTACGTCTATCATGCAATTATGTCTAAAAGTATCAAAATCTTTTAGATTTGGATACTTTTGATTTTAAACAAAATAGCTCCACCCTAAGTTGTTTAGATATAAGTAAGACCTTTGATAGCTGCAATTAACGTATTAAAGACGCATGCTTTAATTACGTAAGTTTAAGGATTATCAAAAGAGTTAAACTTCTTATATCTAATACAAGTCTGTACCTTGAAAATTTTTAGGGGGAGTTGTTTTGAAAAACGAGGTAGTTCATATTAGCAAATAAATATAATAGTTAATGTGTATAGCAAAAAGTGAGCAAAACAAGGAATAATTGGTACGAAAAGCCGTGTTGATTGCACCTATCGACCCGATCTGCAGTACGGGCTTGTAATATTTTGAGAGCATTTTAATGATTATTTTAA